CAGTTTGGCTCCAGTTGGTTGGAGTGTCGTTCCATCCATGGAAAGGTGGTGGGTTCGAGTCCCAGTCAGGGCACACACCCAGGTTTCAGGTTCTGCACATACGGAGGCAACCGATCCATGGTTCTCTCTGTCTCTCTCTCTCTGTCTCTCTGGCTCTCACTCTCCCTCTCCCTCCCCCTCCCTCCTTCTAAAATCAATAAACAAACAACAAATAAAAGCATACCCTCTCAACTGGGCATGTGCCCGACCAGGAATCGAACCCTGACCTCCTGTTCATAGGTCGACGCTCAGCCCCTGAGCCCCCGGCCGGGCGACACACCCAGCGTTGCTCCTGTTCTAAGTGGGATCTGGGGCGTTGTCCCTGCTCCTGGGGGGCAGGCACGCGAGCGGCCCCCTAGCTGCTCCCAGTTCCACGTCTCTGGGCAGCGTCTGGGATGGACTCCTCTTGCTGTCTGAGAACGTGGCTGGCGCCGTGGGTGCTTCTATAAACACTCGACATTTCTGCGGCTCTGAAGGCATTTCTGTCCGTCCCCCGCCCGCTTCCCACTTAAACAAAAACAGACCCTCGAGGACCCCTGGGCCAGGTGACCCTCTCCCTCCCATGCTCTCAGAATGCAGCTCCGACCTCCAACCCAGGGTTCCCTGCAGAAGGGCACTGCGACCCTCATTCCTCCAGGCGGCCTGCGGGGGGCTCTGGAACGTTCCGGAACTTGGCACTTGTAAAGGTCACTGTGACATGTGTGGTTTCTTCCTAGTAAGTCCTGCTGGGCCTGGAGAGCCCTGGCTGTCCTCTCTTTAGCTCTGGGGTGGTTTTTTGTATCACTTTTTTAAAAATATTTTTTTAAAATTTATTTCAGAGAGGAAGGGATGGGGAGAGAGAGAGAGAAACATTGATGAGAGAGAAACATCATGGATCGGCTGCCTCCTACATGCCCCACACCGGGGATGGAGCCCCAACCTGGGCCTGTGCCCTGACCTCCCGGGAATCGAACCCGTGCCTCTTGGTTCCTGGGTCGATGCTCACCCTCGGAGCCACGCCGGCCGGGCCGGGTCTTGGCTTCTAAGTACCGTTTTCCACGAAGGAGAAGCAGACTCCTGGGAGCCGTGGCTGGTCCCAGAGCTGAGGAAGGGAGGTGCTGGGATGGACCTGGAACCTCTTGATTATCAGGAAGTGACAAGCAAACTGCTCACAAAACGACGAGCATTGATGAACCCGACAGAAACCAGCTCTCAGGGGCGCCTGCTGGCGACCTCGGGGCCAAGTTTAGCATCCAGATAAGTAGATGCTCCTACGTCGGTGTGGCTCAGTGGGTAGAGTGTCGGCCTGAGGACCGAAGGGTCCCGGGTTCGAATCTGGTCAAGGGCAAGTACCTGGGTTGCAGGCTCCTGCCCAGCCTGGGCCCTGGTTGGGGCGCGTGCAGGAGGCAACCCATCGATGTGTTTCTCTCACATCGGTGTTTCTCTCCGTCTCTCCCTCTCTCTTCCACTCTCCCTGAAAATCAATGGAAACATATCCTCGGGTGAGGCTTAAAAATAAACAAATAAATAAAAGAAAAGGAAAAAAGTAAGTAGATGGTAACAGTCGGTTGAAATGTATTTATTCGTTCACTCCTGGTGGAGGAGAAAGCCTTGTTGGTGGTAAATGTAGACGATGACGGACGTAGAACATCGTCACCTAGAATCACAGCACAGTGCCCGCCCCCCCAGCCACGGGGACACGTCCCAAGGCCCCAGGTAACACCGAACCCCATTCGGGCTATGTGTTTTCCTACAGACATGCCCGCGATGAAGTGTCATGGATACAGGAGCCCAGTGAGATTCCCAACAATAGCCAAGAATAAAACCACCATCGTGACCACACGCTCCAATAAACGTTCTGTGGCCGTGGCCCTCCCTCCCTCTCTCCCACAGACAGCCTCCTGCACTGGGCTCACCTCGTCCTGTGACGATGCGAGGAGATACGCTGGCTGCCTACGTGACCGGATGCAGGGAGGCGACGCCTTGGGCACTGGGCAGCAGGAGGCCGCTGTGACCTCTGACCCTGGAGAATGGCCAGCATCGCTGCTCCCCTGCTCCGGGGCCTTGGACCTGAGCAAGGGCACAGATTTCTCCGGCAGCGGGGGCGTCCGCAGAGGCGTGCTGCTGGGGTCGCGAGGGCCGTGGGGAGCCAGCAAGGGCCGGGGGACTGTTTCACGGATGTCGGTGGACAGCTCCTTGGAGGACAAGGGGGTGGGGTGCCCTGGTTCCCGGCGGCTGAGTTAGCCTGGTGTGGTGACCGCCTATCTGATAAGCGAGGGCCACTGGGTGACTCACTGGCGGGGAACGTCTGCGGCCTGGGGACCCTGGGGACCCTGGACGGGGTGAGTCAGGCCCCGGCGGGACGGAACCGGGGCCTGAGATTTCATCCAACTGCTCAGAACGGCGAGCGTTGTGCGCCTGTGAGTTGTCCGTTCTGGGGTTTGCGCCTCATGCTGCTGGACCACGTCGACCCTGGCCGACCGCAACCTCGGACAGTGCAGATCACCTGCTGACGCTCAGACAGTGGGGTTGTGATGGGTAACAGGACACACACGGTCCTTCCCCACAAAATAGGACTGACCAGGGCCAACGCTCACGTCAACGTGTGACACGGAAACGGGCGTGTGCCACACAAGCGGTCAGTGTTGACCTGCTGTGTGGACTGTGGCCAGGCCTTGATCAGGGCCCTGGTTTTCCCCTGGCCCCTCCGTCCCAGGACCCGCCGGGACCCGCGTCCACCGGTCCCCACGCCTCCTCAGGCCCCGGGGCCGGACCGGTCTCTCGGACTCACTGGTTTTGAGGAGACTGGGCCGGTGTTTGCAGGGTGCACTCTGTTGGGGTTTGTGCCGCGATTAGACTGGGGTTATGCATTTGGGGGAGAACCCGGGGTGCCCTTCTCATCTCGTCCTGTCAGGGCACACGCTCTCAGCACCACCCGTCCCTGGGGGCTGACCCTGACCGCCTGGCTGAGGCACGCTGCTCAGGTTGTGCCCATGTGTCCTGCACCCTGCAGGGGGGAAGGAGGCCCCTAGCACAGCCCCCAGGGGTGCAGTGGGGCCCCTCCCCGGTGGGGTGCCCAAACTCAGCATGTGGGGTGCTCTTGCACGGCCACTTGCCGCTCCCTCCCGATCCCGTGCCTCTCCAGCCCCCTGTTCGTGCCGGTGGCCCCAGGCATGTGTGGTCCGATGAGGCCTTGCCCAGTTTTGCACACATTGTTCCAGCTGTGGCCCCTGGGAGCTTCCAATTGGCTCAAGTGACCACAGTTTTCAATTAACCAGTTACTCTCACTGGCTGGGCGGGGGAGGGGATGAGGTTCCTGGGCAGCAAATAACATGCTACACGCATGCAGATGTGCACCACACATGCACACTCACAGGCAAGCACACACGTACACAGGCACACACCCGAGCATGTGAACACATGCACACAGGTGCACGCCTATGTACATGCACACACATGGGCATGTGAATACATGCACACTCGCAGGTGCACACACATGCACACCTATGCGTATGCACATGGATACATGCACATGTACACGAACACAAAAATGCACACTCAGTGTACACACATGCACGCATACTCACACAGGCATGTGAACACAGGCACATGAATGCTAGTAGGTGCACACACATATGCACACACACACACGTGCACACAAACACATGTACACTCCCACTTGCACACTTTGAGGCCTGCATTTCCGTGGAAATGAAGACAGGAGGCAGCCTAGGCCTGACCCTCTGGACGGGCCCAGGGAGGGGACGGGACCCTGTCCGCTGGGCCAGCCCCTTGGAGTTGCAGCTGCTGCCGTAGGGCCCTCCTGGCTCCCACAGGCCGTCCGGGGGGAGGGGGTTGTGGCCGCCGCAGGTGTCCAGGGGAGAGGGCAAGGGGCTGAGGGTCGGGTAGTGCCAGTGGCTTCCTCAGATGCCAGTGCCTCGGGCAGAGGGGGAGTCGGAGAGGAGGGCGCGGCTCACCTAGAGGACAGAGGGGCTGGTGCCTGGAACCTGCCAGTGGGCACAGGAAAAGGGGCCGCGGTCAGAGGCCTGGTCAGCTCCCCCATGGCCGGTCCGGGGGAGCCCGGTTATCTGCCCACAGAGGGGCTTGAGGCCGCTTCGGGAGGCACCAGAGGCCGTCTTTGCGAAGTGCCGAGCACACAGTAGGTGCTCAGCAGGGGCAGGTCGGGACCCCAGGCCTGGCTCTCACCCCGTTTTCTCCCCGTGGGACACGCTGCTCTCCTCCCGAAGCAGAAGTGGGCAGACCCCGCCGAGTGGCTCCCCCCCC